TGTACCTTGATAAGAGAGGCAACATAGGTACAGTGTACCTTGATAAGTGAGGCAACATAGGTACAGTGTACCTTGATAAGAGAGGCAACATAGGTACAGTGTACCTTGATAAGAGAGGTAACATAGGTACAGTGTGCCTTGATAAGAGAGGCAACATAGGTACAATGTACCTTGATAAGAGAGGCAGTAGACTGGTACAGTGTACCTTGATAAGAGAGGTACCATAGGTACAGTGTACCTTGATAAGAGAGGCAACATAGGTACAGTGTACCTTGATAAGAGAGGCAACATAGGTACAGTGTACCTTGATAAAATAAGCAACATAGGTACAGTGTACCTTGATAAGAGAGGCAACATAGGTACAGTGTACCTTGATAAAATAAGCAACATAGGTACAGTGTACCTTGATAAAATAAGCAACATAGGTACAGTGTACCTTGATAAGAGGTAACATTGGTACAGCACCTTGATAAGAGAGGCAACATAGGTACAGTGTACCTTGATAAGAGAGGCAACATAGGTACAGTGTACCTTGATAAGAGAGGCAACATAGGTACAGTGTACCTTGATAAGAGAGGCAACATAGGTACAGTGTACCTTGATAAGAGAGGCAGCATAGGTACAGTGTACCATGATAAGAGAGGCAACATAGGTACAGTGTACCTTGATAAGAGAGGCAGCATAGGTACAGTGTACCATGATAAGAGAGGCAACATAGGTACAGTGTACCATGATAAGAGAGGCAACATAGGTACAGTGTACCATGATAAGAGAGGCAACATAGGTACAGTGTACCATGATAAGAGAGGCAACATAGGTACTGTGTACCATGATAAGAGAGGCAACATAGGTACAGTGTACCTCGATGAAGTAAAACTTAGTAAACAATGTTAGGTGAGGCTGCCGCCAGTCTTAATGAAGCTGACGAGTCAAGTGATAAAAATAACCTTGACCTGATGGTGGTAGTTGTGGTGGTGGTAGTGGTAGTTGTGGTGGTAGTGGTAGTTGTGGGAGTGTTGGTGGTGGTAGTAATGGTGATTGTGATAGTGATGGTGATAGTGGTGGTAATGATGGTGATAACTGTGGTAGACGTGATGGTGGTGGTAGTGATGGTGAAGGTATTTGTTGGTAATTGTTGTAGTTGTTAGTGTGGTAGTATTGGTATAATGGAAACGGTTTTAAGAGTACAATCCTCGTAGAATGACCTCAGGCTGTTGGTGCTAGCAGCCTCTGATATCTACTGGTATGTTGATATCTGCTGGTAGCAGGTTGATATCCACTGGTACCAGGGGTAATAGCCTTGGACAATGGATGTTGACAGTGTTCTCTTACTGTGCCCACGGTGCCCCTGCTTTTCACTGGGTCTTATTTATACTTCCTCTCATATCTCTCACTCCAGAACATTATGGTAGTGTGTAGGTGTGGAACCAGGCCTTCCAGTATCTTCCAGGTGTCTATTGTCTTCTATGCATTCCCACTCTAACTCTATACCACTTACCCCATTTCTCCCGGTCTTGTCCATTCCCTTCCACACTACATCTACCTCTCCTCTCTACTCTTATAACAATTTTTAAAGGGATGGAGGGGTAAGCCAGTGGAAGGCCTCGGTCAGGTGATCAAAAGCTACAGCTGTGGGTCGTCATATGAGTAAGTCCCGCATCAGGAAACGCTTGTCCTGTTTCCTGACAAATCTTACCGATCCTAACCTCTTTACTCTTTCCTCCACATTTGTCCTCTTCTTACCTCTCTTCCATATCTTCACTCCTCTCTCTTCTTTTGTGTCTCCCTCCCATCTCTCCTTCACTCCCGTCTCCATACTTTTCTCTCCTCCCTCGTCTTCTCTCGCAGCTTTCCTGTACCCACAATTCCAATATTCCATAATATATTGATGCAAAATCGCCTTTATCTCCTCGCCTTGAGTGCTTACTGATCGTCTGCCCAATATTTCTATCAGGTTCCTTCAGTCCTAACACCGGTATTACTGGTATTATTACTGCAGTATTACCACTACATTATTACTGTAGTATTATTGGTATTATTGCTGTAGTATTATTGGTATTATTATGGGGATTATTACTGCGGTATTGGTATTATCGCTGGTATTATTACTGTAGTATTATGTGTATTATCACTCTAGTATCACTGGTATTATTACTGTAGTATTATTGGTATTATCACTGATATTGCTGCAGTATTGGTATTACTGGTATTATTACTGCATTGTTTTTTTCTGGTATTGTTGTATTACCAGTATTAATACTACAGTATTCCCACTATTATGTATACATTCTTGTTGATGTTACTTCTGCTGGTATTCCTGGTATTATTACTTGTGTTATTGACATTAATATTAGTGTTATTGTCTTACTGCTGGTATTATTACTTAATTATTGAGAGTACTGTTATTATTACTAATATTATTTCTAGTATTATTTCCTCAGTATTATTGATATTGTTACTGCAGTATTATTGGTATTAATACTGCAGTATTGATGGTATTAATATTGCAGTATTACTGGTATTGATATTGCAGTATTACTGGTATTAATGCTGCAGTATTACTGGTATTAATATTGCAGTGTTACTGGTATTAATACTGCAATATTGCTGGTATTAATATAGTATTACTGGTATTAATACTGCAGTATTACTGGTATTAATATTGTAGTATTACTGGTATTAATACTGCAGTATTACTGGTATTAATATTGCATTATTACTGGTATTAATATTGCATTATTACTGGTATTAATATTGCAGTATTACTGGTATTAATATTGCAGTATTACTGGTATTAATACTGCAGTATTACTGGTATTAATATTGCAGTATTACTGGTATTAATATTGCATTATTACTGGTATTAATATTGCAGTATTACTGGTATTAATATTGCAGTATTACTGGTATTAATATTGCAGTATTACTGGTATTAATATTGCAGTATTACTGGTATTAATACTGGAAATAATACTTCAGTATTACTGGTATAATTACTGTGGTACTTTGAAGACTTGTATTAAACAGGGATGAATTGTGTGATTACTTGTGTGATGATTTATTTGATTATTTCTGTGATGATAAATGTGATTATATGTGTGATTTATATGATGCGACTTTGGAGGAATTATGATTTAAGATTTGTGGAATGATCGTAGATTTACAATTATTTCAATTGAGTTTATCTGATGATTTTTGTAGCATGACAGAAAATGAGTCATGACAAGAGAGAATGAGTCATGGGAAGAGAGAATGAGTCATGGCATGAGATAATGAGTCATGACAAGAGAGAATGAGTCATGGCATGAGATAATGAGTCATGGCATGAGATAATGAGTCATGGCATGAGAGAATGAGTCAGGGCATGAGAGAATGAGTCATGGGAAGAGAGAATGAGTCATGGGAAGAGAGAATGAGTCAGGGCATGAGAGAATGAGTCATGACAAGAGAGAATGAGTCATGGCAAGAGAGAATGAGTCATGGCATGAGAGAATGAGTCATGGGAAGAGAGAATGAGTCATAGTAAGAGAGAATGAGTCATGGCATGAGAGAATGAGTCATGGGAAGAGAGAATGAGTTAGGGCATGAGAGAATGCGTCATGGCAAGAGAGAATGAGTCATGACATGAGAGAATGAGTCATGACATGAGATAATGAGTCATGGCAAGAGAGAATGAGTCATGGCAAGAGAGAATGCGTCATGGCATGAGAGAATGAGTCATGGCAAGAGAGAATGAGTCATGGCAAGAGAGAATGAGTCATGGCAAGAGAGAATGAGTCATGGCAAGAGAGAATGAGTCATGGCATGAGAGAATGAGCCATGGCATGAGAGAATAAGTCATGGCATGAGAGAATGAGTCATGGCATGAGAGAATGAGTCATGGCAAGAGAGAATGAGTCATGGCATGAGAGAATGAGTCATGGCAAGAGAGAATGAGTCATGACATGAGAGAATGAGTCATGACATGAGAGAATGAGTCATGGCATGAGAGAATGAGTCATGACATGAGAGAATGAGTCATGACATGAGAGAATGAGTCATGGCATGAGAGAATGAGTCATGGAATGAGAGAATGAGTCATGGCATGAGAGAATGAGTCATGGCATGAGAGAATGAGTCATGGCAAGAGAGAATGAGTCATGGCATGAGAGAATGAGTCATGGCATGAGAGAATGTGTCATGGCATGAGAGAATGAGTCATGGCAAGAGAGAATGAGTCATGGCATGAGAGAATGAGTCATGGCATGAGAGAATGAGTCATGGCAAGAGATAATTGTTAGTGATGTCTTCTTAACTAACTACACTAACATCTTTTACTAATTCCACCTCTTCTCTGCTAACTTCATGTCATCTTAACTAATTCTTCCTACCCTTCACTAATTCTTCTCTACTATACCTCTTTCTTTCTCTCTCCACTAACTTCACCTCTGTCTCTGTCTCTCTCTCTCTCTCTCTCTCCACTAACTTCACCTCTCTCTCCACTACACCTCTGGGTTTCTCCACTACACCTCTCTCTTTTTTACACAGGGTTTGACAAGGTTAAGGATCCCTAGCTTTATTGACAAGCTATTTACAGGTTAAGGATTCCTAACTTTATTGGCAAGCTAAGAGCTGTTACCTACATCAGCCCATTTGAAAGCATTTTTATTGTTATGAGACATACAAGTAGGAAACAGGATGAAGTTGGAGCCATCTGTGGGCCAGCATTTTCATTTGATCAACCGACTTTATCTCGTTGACATCATTATGCTGTACGAATGTGTTCCATACTCTAGCCATCCTGGGTATATATGATCTCAGATCTCTCACTCTCTCTCTCCCTTTTTTTACACAGGGTCTGACATGGTTAGGTTAAGGATCCCTAACTTTATTGACAAGCTAAGAGCTGTTACCTACATCAATCTCTCTCTCTCTCTCTCTCTCTCTCTCTCTCTCTCTCTCTCTCCCTACTAACACCACCTCTCCACTTGCTGCACTAACTCCACTTCTCTCCACTACAGCACTCTGGATCCATATTATCGAGTGGGTCTGAGGTACCTCCCCTGCCCCTGACCTCTCCTCCCCACACCCCCGCCTTCCCCACCGACGAGGAGGAGGAAGAGATTACAGAATATGACAATGAGGTGAGTCCTTCCGTTTCTTTGTTGATATTTACCTGAGAGGTTCTTTGGTCTTCCCGTAGAAGGCCTGAAGCGATTATTTTCTGTCTCCGGTACGGGTCTTCTGGCTTCTGGATGGTTTATTTGGGCTTACCATTAGGGTTTCAGGCCTGAAGTGAGTACTTTCTGCTTACGGTAGAGGCTTTTCTGGCTTTTGGCAGGGTTCTTTGGGCTTAGTGTCAGGGTGTAAGGCAGATATCGCAACGGAAGAATGGATATAGATAAACTGTAATTGATAGTAGTGTGTATTTTGTAAAATACCTACAGTTTTAGAGATTCTCAGATATGTATTGGACCTGAGTGTTGAATCTGAAGTCACACTCAAGGTGGATGCCTAAGAATTTTCCTTTTCTTCTCCTTTTTCTGTTTGTTTAACCTCCTGTCGAGTTGTCCTGGCCTCTGGGAGGAGTGTTCGGACTTGTCGTAGGACTGTTGAGACCTGTAGGACTAGAGGGAGTGTGTAGGCCTCCCATAGGAATATTTCCGCCTCCTTCATGGTTGGAAAAATACACAAATGCATTTTAATGTGATTGTTGACAACGTTTCGCCCACACAGTGGGCTTTATCAAGCCACAGACAAATTTACCTGGGCAAAGAATAAATGGTTGTCTACCACCTACCTTCATCCTGCAAGAGTGATCATTATGTTATCAGTATTGACAACCCACTTGGGATGATTCTTTAAGATCATTCTTAGATGAAACATATCAGAGTTCACTTCAAGACGTACTGTTACTTGAGTAGGTTGAAATAAGTAGCGGTCTCTGATTTTTTTCTGAGGTTAAATTAGGTAAGATTCGTCAGGAAACAGGATAAATGCCTCCTCGATGTGAGTCTTAACCATATGATGACTCAACACTCGAGCATTTATTCATCTGACCGAGGCCTTCCACTGGCTTAGGAGTCCATCCCGTTATAAATTAAAGAGAGCATCATTTTATTTTTTCTGAGAGTGGTAAAACATGGCAGTGTATTGCAGACATGCGTCTTCAACAGGTGGAAATAATTAAGGTTACGTCTCAGGAATATATTGCTTCTTAAGATAGGGTGATACGAAAAGATACTCTGTTTTATACAGGCCAATGTAAAAGATAATTCTACATCTTTGAGACTTAAATAAAAAAGATAGTACTGTCTTAGACATTTCAGTATAAAATTTCCAACACTTGATATATACACTGAGAAGTGTATTTCTCTCAGTGTATATATGTTTAGAGTTTTCTTTAATCCCTGTTTTTAGGGATTAAAGTATGCTTGTCTAATGGTGAGCAGTTTACGTGCAGCCTTATTGAGCCTAGTGTAGTCGATAGTGTTTAAACCTTATTAACCAATCTTTCTGAATAGGAAGACACTTCAAAGGGATGGAAACGGGGCCGTGATTTTAGTAAGAAGAAACAGTCCAGGGGGATGCACAAACAGGTACCTGGTACCTTAATGGTACCAGGTACCTGTTCAGTGTATCTTCAAAGAGATTGTTTTTCTGTAGACTAGAACTGACTAAGAAAATTTAAGTTGGTGAATATTTTTCTGGTTAAGAATAAACCGGATTAAAAAAAATCCAAACACAAGGGTAAGCATTATGGTGTATTAAATTTTCAGTGTATTTTATTAATCAAATTTCTTTCAGATATAAATGCAAAACAAAGGCAGAATTTTAATGCTGTTTAAATTGTTTCAGAATATAAAAGCTTCAGCATACTGAAGCTGTAACGTGCTTTTTGTTTTCTAAAGCTTGAAGTCATAAGCTTAAGATTACATCTTTTTTTACGGAGATGAAGTCAGTTTTAGTGTATTAATAACACTGGTAGGATTTGTGATTGAAAATAGACCCTCTGGTGTCATCTGGTATTTACGTGAAGTACTTGTCTGCATGTACTGATTTATATAATTTTAGAGACGTATGCTAAATAATAACCCACATGGAGACACGTAGGAGATTGATTGATCTGTATATTTCGACCCCCTTATGGGATCCTCTTCAGCAGATGAAGAGGATCTCAGAAAAGGGTCGAAATGTACAGATCAGTCTGTCTTAACATAAGAACATAAGAACGAAGGAACACTGCAGAAGGCCTACTGGCCCATGCAAGGCAGGTCCAAGTCTCCTACCGGCTTAAGCCAATGCACCCAACCTAGTCAGGTCAGGTCACATTGACTTAAGGGAGGAACACGGCAACCGACCTGGTAGCACAAGCTATCAGGTCTAACTCACACCCACCCACATCTACTCATGTATTTATCCAACCTATTTTTAAAGCTACACAACGTTCTGGCCTCTATAACGGTATTTGGGAGTTTGTTCCACTCATCCACAACTCTATTACCAAACCAGTACTTTCCTATATCCTTCCTGAATCTGAATTTTTCCAACTTAAAACCATTGCTGCGAGTCCTGTCTAGGCTAGATATTTTCAGCACACTATTTACATCCCCTTTATTTATTCCTGTCTTCCATTTATACACCTCAATCATATCCCCCCTAATTCTACGTCTTTCTAGAGAGTGCAGATTCAGGGCCCTTAGTCTATCCTCATAGGGAAGGTTTCTGATACATGGGATCAACTTTGTCATCCTCCTTTGTACATTTTCCAGAGAATTTATATCCATTCTGTAATACGGTGACCAAAACTGTGCAGCATAATCTAAATGAGGCCTAACCAAGGATGTATAGAGTTGAAGAACCTGAGGACTCCTATTATTTATGCTTCTTGATATGAAGCCAAGGATTCTATTAGCTTTATTGCGAACACTTATGCACTGTTGTCTTGGTTTCAGATTACTGCTAACCAGAACTCCTAAATCTTTTTCGCAATCCGTAATATTAAGATCTACATTATTTAGTTTATATGTGGCATGGTTATTGTCTTGAGTTTCTCTGGGTTATTACTGAGCATTGACAAGTGTCCATTACACTTCGGTTATTCTTAGAGGTCTATATTATAGATCTCTACTGTGCTCGAATATCCAGTATATGTTATTCTTAGAGGTCTATATTATAGATCTCTACTGTGCTCGAATATCCAGTATATGATCAATAGGGAATAAAATTGTGTGACCAGACTGTTATGTCATCACTTATCACAATGATCTCAAATTTATTTTCTTGAAATAAATTCCCCTCGAGTCACCCTTAATGGGGAATATACATTTACGCGATTTTTTAGCAGTGATTGAAACCGAATGCATCGATTGTCTTCAGGATACTTTCTTCGGACAGTCGAAGAAGAAGATTGTTTTTTGAATTATTAAAGCAGCAAATGGTGGATTAGGCTAGCAAGTGGGAGGCCTGGTCTGGGACCGGGTCGCAGGGGTGGTGACCCCCTGAGTCAACTCCAGGTAGACTACATAGAATTAGTAACTCAAGAAAACTTGTCAGTGTGGCTTATTTCCACCAGACTATGATGGACATGTGGGGCTGCGGGCCACTAATGACAACATCCCGGTTAACCAGGCTAGCACCAACCGAGCCTGGCCCATGGCCGGGCTCCGGGAGTAGAAAAACCCTCGGAAGTCATCAAAGATATAACTTAATGCGACCCACAACAGTTTACTAACACCCAGGTACTTACTGCTAGGGAAACAAAGGGGCAATAGGTGGAACCTGATCCTTCATTTTGACTAATGTGATAACGTTCGCTTTTCTACGAAAAATAACGAGTATTATGGTAATATTTATATATTTTTGGCAACATTTTTACGTTGTATTTTTAGTCTTTTAAAGTATTTACACGAGCATGACTTTTTTTTATTATTAATATTAAGGTATGTGTGGCTGAAAAGCAAATATTATGGTAAAAAGAGCTTCAAACTTGGCGAGTACAATTTATCTTAGTAATAGCTGAAAAAATTAGTTTTCAGTCACTTTCCTGGAGAATGGGAATGCAAAAAATTGTGAAATGTTTCCTGTTAAGAGTTCTGGTGATGGCCCGCAGCTGCAGCTTTTGGTCATCTGACAGAGGCCTTTAACTGGCTTACCCTCAGCCCCTTTAAAAATTATGGTTATGATTATAACTGTTGTGTTAAGAGTTCTGGAATAATTGATGCAAGTATCCCAGGGGGACGACAAGACGTAGGTTACACAGTCAGCTTTGCAGTTATTCCTGGGGTATATCTGTGACCGGTCTCCAGAGTTTCTCAGTTCTCGCAGGCCGGCCTGGGGCCAGGCTTTTCGTTTGCCTGTTCAGCCAGGCTTTTGCTGTTGGGAGCCCGTTGCGCACACATCCATCATAGCCTGGTTGATCTGGCACTTGGTGAAGCTTCTACACTTGCTTCTGTAGTTTTTCTGATATATGCTGGTAGAAGGTTGAGTAGTCTTGGACCACGCATGTTAACATAGTAAAAAACAGTGGTACCCATGGCGCCCCCTGCTTTCTACTGGGTCTATTTTATTCCCACATCTATCCCTCCGGTACATTGTGTTAGTAGTGTGTAGGTTTGAGACTAGGCTATCAAGTATCTTGTGTGTGTTCACTGTCGGGTATCTCTCCTCCAGAGATTACGTTCCTAGCACTTTCAAGCGTTCCCAGTAGTTTAAATGCATTATTGGCTTTTTGCAGTTAGTCAGCCTTTGATAGCTCTCCTGCTATCACAGAAAAATATTCAGAACGAGAGAGAGAGTACGAGTGATATAATTGGTATCACCATTAGTGTTAATTCTCTTGCTTTGATAGTTCTTATTATCCAGCGTGTCATTTTACTGGCCTTAACGGTGTTTGCCTTATCGTATTCTCTAAATGACAGATTTTCTAATATTATTTTACGTAAGTCTTTCAAATATTCGTTTCGTTCTGTGAGATGGTCCTCCGTTTTATTTCCAATGCATTTTTGCGTTCTCAATTCTTAACATATTTGAGCAGTTGGAACTTGTCATCATTGAATATGGTGCTATTTTCCATTGCTCAGTGGAAGACTTTGTCGATATCTGCTTGCTTTTTCGTGTCTTCTACTGAGGCGACATTTACGTT